CAAATCAAAAATGGAACACCATTCTCTGTTTGCTCACATCTATTCAGCACTGACTCGTTATCAGTGTTTTGTCAGAACCATCTATCCCAAGGATGTTGTTTTGTCCTGCTGCCTTATCGTAGCCGACTGCCTTCACGCCTCCGCTGCGTTGCTTCAGCGTTGTGTGAACATGTGGGCCTGGAAGCCTGAACTGCCACGGCTCTTAATCCCCCCTCGTCGGAGTCACAGAGCCCCAGCTTTATTAGCATATATCCCCCCTCCCCTCTTTGTGTGGCTTTAATGTTCTCTGAGTCTTCTCCTGCTCCTGCACCATATCTGACAGCACATTTCTGTAATTCTAATGACACTGCCCCAATCTCCCATTCATTTCGCCTTTGTCTCTCTCTATTTGGGTCAGTTTGTAGTTTTGTTTACTCTCCAGCGGCTCAGGGAGGCAGAGGCAGATCGCGGTATGTTTAAGTCACTATCTCTGGCAGGTTATAGCATGGGGCCACCTTGGGTGAGGATGGGATAAAGGATGTGGAAATTAAAACTGAGTGCTTTGTGCAGCAAGTTGTTGTGCAATATCCAGGGAAGCATTGGCTGTGCAGACATTGTTTCCTTTCCAGCAGGGAAGTCTGCTGAAATGACAGCAATGCTATGTGGGCAAGTTCACAATTCTCATTTATCTTTAAACTTTCCTGGAAAATAGGTAGAAGCATTTTTTTTATTGGGACCTTCCTCCATGCTAGTTCAAAGAAGTACAACAAAGCTGTGGCTGTATGTTGAAGGATGGTTACTCAAGCTGTGTTTGCCAGTCTCAGTGGTGTGTTGCAGGGCGATGCACAACAAGATCAAAGTTTGACAGTGTTACATTTTCTTATTATTATTTCCTGCAGGGTGCATTCATGCTGTGCCATGTTTGGGATGTTCCGGCATCTCTCCAACACTGGAACTATGAATTCTGTGTAAGACGTGGGGGGCTAGCAGCAGAAATCTCCTTTAAAAACAGTCATGATCGATCCCAGCAACCAATAAGAAACAGATCTGGGATTCTCTCGACGTCGTCCAAGGTCAACTCTTCATCAGATAAGGTGCGGTAATGATCGCACCTCCAGCGTGTAGAGGGTACCAAGGTGGGAGCAGAGGTCACCTCACAACCTGTCCCCTGCAGACCTTTTTTTTTTCTCCAGCGTCAGGGGGACGGAGATAGCAGCCATCAGATAGAGAAGACCGCAGGGGAACGAACCCTCTCCACCCTCCTCCGCCCTTTGCCTTTGTCTCTAATATGGAGCAGCGATGGCAGAGGCCGCAGCGTTTAGAAAAGCCCTGTGTTTCTACTATAAAAACCACATCTATGGCCATGGAGAAGCTTACACTGTAATCCTGCATGACGGATTGAGTCTGCCACTGCAGCACTCTCCCTCTCTTTTTTCTTTCCCTCCTCGTTTCTTCCAAAAACTTCCATGGAAGCAGGCATGAGCTCGATGTATGGACATACACAGCCATACACATATCAGCGTCATCTGAGGCGTATAAGTTCACATACTGCACATATGCGCTCTTTCACACTCTTTTCATCAATCCTTTTTTCCATAAAAAATGTAGAGCATACTATAGCTGCAGAAAATGTTGCACTAACAGTCGAGGGAGTGAACAATTCAGTGTCAATGGCGGGGAATGGAAAATAGGTTTCCTTGCCTTCTTGCAAGTGAAAGAACAGAATGTAAAAGATACCGTCACACAGTCTCGCACAGTACAAGAGAATGAATCCCATTGGGAAGTCTCAGTGAAAGCCAGAGCTGCAGAGGTATATAGATGACCTGGATTTTGAATCTGCGCTCCCATGGCATGGATTACTGAGCACGGGTGGAAACGGCCTCTAATATAAAGGACTTTTATATGCTCACGGATCACTACTATTAGGAACCCTCTGAGCCTGATTTGCACCCGTCCTTATCTATCCATCCTCTTGTCACTCCAGCGTTTTGTCTCTGTCTTTCTTCCCTGCACATCCATGCTTTATGTTGTTTTTTTTTAACTACTTCTCTTTTGTAACCTCTCTCTCTGTCTTTCTCTCTCTCTCTCTCTCTCTCTCTCTCTCTCTCTCTCTCTCTCTCTCTCGCTCTCTCTGTGGGTATTAGGCATTCAAAGATCTTTCTGTGCCATGCAGTTGAAGTTATCACCCCATCTCTCTCCCTCTCTCACTCAATCTCTCTAATCTTCCTTAATCTTCCAGCCCAGAGTGAAGTGAGAATTAGTTTCTCACTCTCCCTCATCAATCTCTCGCACCTCCCCTTCTTCTTCTTCTTCTTCTACTCCGCTCTGCCTCCTTTCTTTCTCCTCTCTCTCTCGTTTTCTCTCTTTGCCACTTTGCTCTCCTCTGGATCATCCTCACCAGCTGCTTTCTTAATCCTCCTTCTTGCTCAGTTTGTCTCCCCTCTTCTCCCTTGCCTCTGCTCTCATTCTGCTTCATGTCATCAACAAAACCACAGAGGTCATTTCTGCTTCAACCTCGCATGTCTCTCTCTCTTTCCCTTTACCTCTCTTCCCATTTCCACCTCCTTGCCCTTAGTTTTTTTTCCTCGCTCTCTCTTCAAGAGGCTCTCGGGACTTTTGCATTCAACCCCAGCCTGTTAACCCTGAGCCGGGTCCTTACCTGCTCACTGTCCATTGCGACACACACTCTCAGGGAGAGCTGATGTTAACACCCACTATTCAACACTTCCCTAGCATAAAAAACAGTTGAACTCAAAGCAAGATTCAATATTTAATAACCTCAAAATTGTGTGCGACTGTAACACACACACACACACACACACATTTATTGCATGTTCGGATGTGTCCCATTTTTCAAAAGCAGGATCTCAGCAGGATTTGGATTTTGATGAGTTTTTCGCAGATTGTTCTCAATTGCACCCAGACTCCCCCTCAAGACTTCAGAGAGAACAAAGCACTTCACAACCACCAACAGAGGTGAAAAGTGTACACAGTTGGCTTACTACAGCCTCACAGAGAGGATTTAACAAAAAAACTGCAAAGTGAAAGGCCAGGAGTGGAAATTGTCCCCTTCAGCACATTATCTAACAAGTCCATAGATCAACCTTTTCAGTTAGGATGAGGGAAAAAAATCTATAAATGAAAGTCACGCCATAATTTGGTGTGTCTATTTGTATCAATACACAAACGCCAAGAATCAAAGTTCGACTGTATGAAATATCAAATTGTAAAAGGACTGAACTTATTTGTCACTTTGATAATCTTTGGACCAATCAAAAGTGCTTTTACAGAACAGGTGGTATTCACTTATTCAAACAGAGCTCAACAGTGACCGCCCACTTTTTTGGCTGCTTTGGTTACAGAAGTAAATTTCCTCATTTAAATCCTCCATTGACATCCATAAAATCCTCATATCAAGAGATTGAAGCCTGGAACCAAGACAACCAGCTACCCTCAATACTCATGACTCTAGTACATTTGATTTGGCGCAAAAACTGCAAAAAACTGAGAAAAAGGCAAAGGTACAAGACTGTGCACAACGTTTTCTCCGGAGTCAAGGAAGTACAGATCCCACAAACCATTGCAAATGACAGCTTCTTCTTAAATGTGTTGCTTTAGTGGTAATACTGTTAATACACAAGTGTTGTAATATCTATATTTCTATATGCTGTGCCGATGCTATTAGTTGAAATAAGTGTGAAAGGAGGATGCTATGTTTTTCACCATTCACACGCCCCATTTTGTTTCAGTGTCTGTCCATTGAAACGTTAAACTGCAAGGAGTTACTCCCCCCCCCCCACAAGCTGGTTTTCCAAGTAAAAAATCTGCTGTCTCTTTTTTAACAAATTTTTCCAAGATCATTTCAGGATAGCCTAAATCTGACACACACTCCCTCCCCTCACAGCAGAAGATGTTCCCCTGTCAGAGAGAGAATGCTATCTACGCTGCGTGTTATTGGATGTATTCGCAATATAAACAAAGAAGTTATGAGAACGTCTGGGTGAGCAGAACAGAGCATGGAAGCAGTTTCATTATGTGCACTAAGATTGAATCAGACATGCAGTGGTCTTAGGATATAGCCTACGTCATGACCCCTGCCCACTCGCTTGTGGGGAATTTTCATTAACAGCTGCATTCAAACATCAGCTTATCCTGACTTCTTGCGGACATTTGACTAGTGGGCTGGCTGGAACAAGTCTAAAAGATGGGCTGTTTGCGTTGACACATGCAGCTCACTTGGTGTTTTTTCTGGCATGAAGTGAAAGAGCTTTTATATGATGAAACATGTTGACAGTGAAAACCTTTGGGGATGTAATTGTTAAAACACGGGGTATTTAGCAGTGGATCAGAAAAAATACTCAGCACATCACTAAATCTTTTAAGATGAGATTACATCGTATTGTTCGGCCCCTGGCGACTCCTAACCTTCCATTCCCGACTTACTTGTCTGCTTCAATGTGCCACATCCTAATCATGCTATGATTAAAAACACATTACTCACAACTCTCATTTTTCAACTTGCGTGTGTGTGCGTGTGTGTGTGTGTGTGTGTGTGTGCGTGTGTGCGTGTGCGTGTGTGTGTGTGTGTGTGTGTGTGTGTGTGTGTGTGTGTGTGTGTGGAGAGGGAGAGACACTCAATTTGTCCAACAATCACCTGATGTTATTTTCAACTTCAATCCCCCAGTGGTATATTTGAAAGAAAAAGCAGAGACAGAGCTCGCAGCGACAAAAGCAATGCAGGAGAAGCCACAGGTATAATTATGTACGCTTTCCAAAATCTCAATATGATGTTATTTTTTCCTCCAAGTTGCCAATAAAAGTCATGTTGTGACTAAAAAAGCTCCTCCACTTAATTAGCGAAACGCACGGGCCACAAGTACTACACAGGGAAAACAAGCTCCCTGCGCAGTAACACTTCTCCTGTTGGACTGTCTCTGCCTCCTTACATTCAACAAGAATAGAGCAAGTATTTGCAAAGCTACAAGGATGACTAACTCAGTCGGTTTTAAAGCACCACGCACCTTCACTTTGAATCCCACTCCGATTGGACTTGTGTACATGAGCCGCGTGCCACACAAGAGTTCTCCCATTTACATTTCACAGTCCCTGTGGGTGGAGAAGGACAAATGAATATTAATTCCACTATTTCTCATTATCAGGGAGGCATAATCATGATGAATGTTATCCTGTTCAGAATGAGCCTTTAGGAGAGAGAAAAAAAAAAACTAAAAGCTGGCTGGAAATATTGCCTATCAGGAAATTAGTCAAAGTAGAGGGGGAAAAAAGGCATGGCTAAAAAGTGCTGTTGAAATAACATTTAATCCTGTACTGAGCTGCTGCATCCTCACAGTAACAGCCTCACAAATCCACATGATCCCCTTTGTATTGTTTTTGTTGTTTTCCTCTCTGTAGTGTGTAAATAAGAAATTCAACACAAAGGGGGACTGATGCTTATTTGTTTCGGACAAATTCAAGTGTTGGCCTTATAATGTGGCTGCTTGAATGGCATAGACTGTATGAAACATGGACGTAGACTGAGCGATGTCACACCTTGGTTTCTGAAGAGGCATTCTGGAGCACAGACTGATGACTGCAACTAATTTCTGGCTAATCAAGAAGCAGGCAAGGAGGTGGATTTGAGGCCGGTCAAATGAGTATGTTTCTGAAACACGTCCATCTAGCACCAAATTCTACAATACAGTTTAAGGTCAATGGGATTTAACTAAAGTGAAGCTGAACCTCCTGGCATACAGTTTACAAAGCACCTGCCTGTAAGGGTGCACTCAAACGAGGCTATCTGTACCGTGCCCAAGCACGCTTCAACCCCAAAGTCCAGATCGTTTGACTAGTGTGAGTGCTACAGTACGTACCATGCATGGTACCCCTCCTTGGCCCTGCACAGATATAAGAGGAGGGCTTCGGCACGATAAAGTTGTTCATGCATAAGCACACGCATGGGCATGCAACATGGACATGAAGTATAATAGATCCCCCCCACCTTTGAATCTCGAGAAACCCAGAGTGTTATGGTAGTTTCTGACCAAAATGACTCAAAATAAGCCACAAACAACTGAACATGGGGTGATTTTTTATATTACTTAACACTTCAGAATATATTAAGCCTTTAATTCAAAAAGAATTACCAAAGAGCGACTGAAATGTAAGGAACAGGTCCCATTGGGTGCTTTAATTGTGATTTTTTTGAATGACTTTTTTGATTGTGGTTTGTTTTGACTGATTTTTGCTGTTTAAATTGTTGTTTTGTGTCTTTTTAATGTATTTTGTATAATGTTTGTATGTATGGCTGCTTATTGTTTGTTGGGAATTGTGTTAACTGTGCTGCTGCCTTTCTTGGCCAGGAAAGGGAGATTTAAAAAACTGGCTATAGCTTGAATGACAGGTAGGTGTTGCTGGCTGTCTGCTAAGAGTCACCCCACTTGACCTCTGGACCGTGCGCCAGCTTTACATGGAGGGATTTCTAGATAAGTGTCGGCACTCTGCAGGTATCTGTGTACATCCTCATTATACCTGCACTGTTTGTTTGTCAAGTTCCTCTAATGTCATGATTTATTTTTGGAGGCTTAGTGCATTGGACTCAGGATTGTTCTTATAAGTAATAATCCCACTTGCATATTCCAACCACCATACAATAAAAACACATCTCTCTGGACTTCAGATAGATATTCAAAGTCCCTCTTTGCTATAAATTGTCCACATTGACCTTAATGCACGATGCGACTTGCTAAAAATGTATCTCTAAGTTTGTGTGCTCAATCTGCTGTGTTCAAAAACATGCTTAATGTTCGATAGAAGAGAAACCTTGAGCAAAGCAAAGGAGCTCACGAGAGTGGGAGTCAGATAAAAGCATTAATGCATAGAGAAGATTAGCAGAGAGTGGGATAAACAAATAAGGAGAGCACGCATGAGAAGAGAAGCAACAAAGTTAAAAAGATAAAGTGCAGGGATGAGGGGAGAGATTGGCATTTCTGCCTCCACCTCTTTCCTGTCCTTTGTGGGGGGGGGGGGAGGGGGGTAGAAACGGAAAGAAGTGAGAGGGAAATGAGCTAAGTTTAGGAGCGAGAAAGATGGATGAGAGATGTGAAGCACACTGAGCTAAACTGAATAAGGGCTGATTACAGCGTAGATGAATGCTGGGTCAGGTTGTTGCCTTAATCAGGAGTGGATTTGTCGACTGCAGGGCGTGTATTAATACAGTGCAGCTTGAGGTTTAAGCTCTGGATGGTCTGTGCCGGTAAAAAAAAAAAAAAAAAGATGAGAAGGGAGGTACTATTCATTAGCATGCATGCAACAAGGCATGAGAAATCACATTAATCGCAGGGAATCCTAATGAAGGTGATTGGCGTAATCACAGCAACAAGAGCATAAAGCGTGTGACAACGGGAGGTCATCTGGCCATTTCTCTGGTTATTATTATTTCCTTTTTTATTTCCACCCCTGCTGGTGTGAATCCATGAAAAATATGTCATGTACTTTGTCTCCCATTTTGCTGCTGATGATCACAAGATCATTAATCCTGGTGATTTGCAAATATTGAGCCCATATCCTAATTAGCCCCTCTTTATCATGTCTATTTTTCCAAGTCATATTTGAAGCTATGATGACGATGTTAACAGCCAATTTCATCAGATCACTGCTGCTCTCCAGGTGGTACCATGTTCCAATCGTCTTTTGATCTCAAAACTGGAGCCGTTCTATGATTCTGCAACGGGTTTGTGCTCGTACCACAATAACAAATAGACTGCAGGTTGCAGTCCCGGCGGTATGTTGGTGCTGTATCCACAATCAAGGCAATTAACCTGTATACGTCTGCAGGGATCTCCAGCTGTGGGGGAGCCGGAGTTTAACACTGTAACCTACCAAAGTCTAGCTGGTAGAGGGCATCTGTTCAGCAAATCAGCAAAGCTACAGTATGTAATCACGTTTCACACCACGCTAATCACTTCAGCCTAATTTATCACCGCTATGAAAACAATCTGCGGCGCTATTAGGAAAGAGCAGACGAGGAGGAGGAGGCAGGGGAATGGAGGAAACGGAGGGACAGAGTGAGGGGGAGGAGACGCTGCGAGGGCCGGGAGACAGAGACAGAAAAGAAAAGGGAAAATGGAGAAAGCAACATGTCCAAAAAGGGCTCTGATTTGTCTAAAGCTCTCTAATTCAATCTTGGAAATCCGACGCAGTGACTGAGCCGTCCCCCTTTGCCCTCCCCCCCCTCCTCCTCCTCTCTTCCTGCTCCCACACCCAGGCCTCATCTTCAGAGCTCTAAGAGTCCCTAATCCGGCTTCTGATAGCGAGGAGGGAGACATCAACACCATACAGGGGTGGAGAGGGAGCACGATGAGTGGCAGAAGATGGAAGGCTGCAGAACAGAAGGGGGGGAGGGGAGGCAGGGAGATGGAAAGACGAGGGAGAATAACACAGGATTGTGTGGCAATTGAACTCAGTCTGTTGGTCGCATCAAATTCCTCTTTAATTAAAAGTCTAAATCCTCCTCACTTTAAAGCCCCTTCTTTATAATTACCACTCTGATCTCCCCCCCTCCTCCTCATCTTCTCACTCCAAAGCAAAACAATTAAAAACTTTTGCGATTTTTACTTCAAAACCCATTAATTAAAAATGGCCAATGAACAATGGTGCAATATTGAAGCAGACCCCCACTTTGCTCATTAGCCGCCGGTTAATTGATCCTAACAGCAATGTTTACCAAAGGGACGCTTAAGACGAAAACATTATCACTTTACCTCGTCTAATTGCCGTCTTTAAAGGAGGGGGGTGCCGGGGGGGTGGAATATCTGGATGTTTTGAGATCACAGGAAAGTGGATCTCCTCTGTGGTTTCATCTCAGGGGGGTTTGCAGTCGTTTTATAGCTCTTATAAAAGGTTATGGGGTATTCCATATAACACACCTAAACAATTTAGCTACAGAATTAAACATGGCACAGGAGAAGCTGGAATTTCTGGTGGTCAGATATCACCAGAGCGGAGAGTCGGCCGTACCCGCCCTCCTGGTCCGCTCATCCATCAAAACTCCATTACCAAAGATCCATCAAAACAGCTCACAACAGCAGAGACTTCTATTTTTCAGAGGACCATAAATACACTCACAACCTCCTCAGTATTAACTTTCTCCCGGCCCCCTTTCCTCAAAACAATTTCGACTTATATTTCCTCCTGACTTGGTCTCCCTGTCGCCTGCACCTCGGGTCGGGGGCCGGCTAATGAAAGGCTGCTCTCAGAGGAACACGGGTGAGACGTATATCGGTGTCTCTCAGCCATCGCACCGTGAAGCCAGATATAAAAGATTCAGGGCGACTGCTGCTTCTGTCACCACCAGAGAGCTTCTTTCTGTCTTTAAACCACCTCAGGTGCAGGCTGATGCTGCATGTCTTCTCTTTTATTCGTCTATTTTTCTCTAGTTTCAGGCGTTATTACTCTCTTATCAATATTCAAGCCCTTACCTCCGGCCCTGTCTGTCTTGCTTTCCACGTCCTTTCCTCCTCTTTCTTACAAACCCCTTTTTTTTTTTCTATGTCAGGCAGAGTATGATTTGACCCTGATTAATAAATTCTCTCACCCACAAAGGAGCGGAAACAAGGTGCAGGTGCAAAAGAATTGATTTCCCCTGTTAGGGTTTTTTTTTTCTGTCTTTTTTTAATGGCAGCAGAGGGAGAAGCAGTATCGGAAAAGCCTGTTGAGTTATTAACATGAGTGATGATGTCGTTAGCGTGATTCCCTGGACCTGTCTCGTCGCGTTGTTAGCATGTTTGCAGCTCGGCGTGACAATTTGATTAGCAGCTTTGGATTTGGAGGCATTACGCCGCTAAATCAAGTCTGTCAAAAAGAGCAAGGCACAGACTGACTGCCATCTAATGTTGACTCACAAATTCACAGTGATAAAAAGAGCCATGAATACACTCTGACACTGATCCATACAGCATATTCACAATTCATATGCATGAGTTATACCAGGACAGTGTCATTATTTCTTTCTTCATTCTTCCATCATTTATCGCTTTCATCAAAAACATGCATTCACACAGCTGTGGTAGACTAAACAGCTTCTTTTAAAGGATCATCTCCCTAAGAAT